GACTCCAACTAACGGCTTAGTTAGCAAATCAGCCAACTGATTCTCTGATGTTGTATGCAACATTTTCACCTCTCCATCTTGTACTTTGTCTCTAACAAGGTAACAATCAATTTCTATGTGTTTGGTCCTTTCATGGAATACCAGATTGTTAGCTATATGGATGACATATTGGTTATCACAAAAGAGTAAAGCAGCCCTGTTGTGTTGGACTCCTAAGTCTTTAAGAATGTCAGCCAACTGATTTCACAAACTGCAGTAGCCATTGACCTATATTCAGCCTCAGCCGATGATCTGGACACGGTGTGTTGCTTCTTGGATTTCCAAGACACCAATGAATTTCCAAGGAATATGCAATAGTCGGTAATTGACCGTCTTGTATCTAAGTAAGCAGCCCAATCTGCATCACAAAATCCCTTAAGTTGCAGATCAGATTTTGCATCAAAGAACAAACCTTGCCCAACTGTTCCTTTCAAATATCTCAGTACATGGTGAGCAGCCTCTAAATGCGGTCGTTTTGGTGACTCAAAATACTGACTGAGAACTTGCACCGAATAAGATAGGTCAGGCCTTATAATTGTTAAGTATAACAACCTGCCTATTGGCCTTCTATACATACTTAGATCACTGATAACTTCACATGTGTTCTTGCTCAGTTTAATACTATGTGGTAGAGGACTTTTTGCTGGTTTTGCTCTAAGATAACCAGCATCCATAAGGACTTCCAATGCATATTTTCTTTAACAAGCTGATATCCCCTGTGAAGTCCTGGCTACTTCAAGTCCCAAAAAATATTTCAAGACACCCAAATCCTTAAGTTTGAACTGATTATTCAGGCTCTTCTTGAAGCATTCAATGTAAGGCAAATCATACCTCCTATAATGATATCATCCACATAGATGAGTAAAATGGTAAATGAGCAGCCACTTTGTTTGCTAAAAAGAGAATAGTTAGATTTTGATTGTTGAAATCCTTGTGAGAGAATATAGGTAGTCAATTTAGTATTCCATTGCCTTGATGCTTGTTTGAGCCCGTAAATGGACTTATTCAACGGTTTCAACCTGTAAACAAGTCTTTTCCCACTATTGCCCTGCTGCTCATAACCTGGAGGCAGATTCATATACACCTCTTCTTCCAATTCGCCATGTAGAAAGGCATTGTTGATGTCTAATCGATGATGAACAACAACAACAAGAAGTGTCTTCATAGTAGCTAACTTGGCAACATGAGAAAAGGTTTCTTCATAATCCAAACCAGCCTGTTGAGTGAAACCTTTAGCTACCAGCTGAGCTTTCTTTCTTTCCTCTGTACTATCAGAGTTCAACTTCACCTTGAAAACCCACTTACAGTCAACTGGTTTCTTGTGACTAGGAAGTTCAGTAACAGACCATGTATTGTTGGAAACTAATGCTTGAAATTCTGTTTCCATGGCTTTGTACCAATCTGGAGAGTTGGAAGCCTCAGCAAAGTACTTATGTTCAGAAACAGTCGACAGAGCTAAAGCATAAGTTCTCTATATATGAGATAACTGGCTATAGTCCAACCAATCAGATATGGGGTACTGAGTTCCAGAATCAGTCCCTTTCTTCATGGAATCCGACTGGAAAGTGGGAACCTGAGTGACCAAGTTGCAATGGTAATCATGAAGATAAGAAGGGGTTCTTTTTGGTCTATCAGATTTTCTAGTTGGAATGACAGGTGGTTGGAGTATAGGCACAACAACTAAAGTGTCAGAAGAGGTGAGTGTAGGTAAATTTGTGAATATAGTATCAGATGAAGGCTCATTCTGAGGAAGTGAGAGGGAAGTGGGAAGAGGATTAGAAAAATGTAGATCAGGTGACATTGATGAATAAGAATCAGAATGAGTGGGAATATATGGAGGAATATCAGTGAATTGATGAGAAGGATTTGGAAAAAGAGAATAATTCTGAGGTGATGAACCTCTACAGGAAAATATTGATTTCAAAGAGGCTGGATTATGAAATGGAAAGATGGTTTCATGGAATATGACATCTCTAGAAATGAAAGTGGAATTAGTCTGAAGCTTGTACAATTTATAGGCTTTCATCCCATAGGGGTACCCAATGAAAACACAAGGTATGACTCTAGGATCGAATTTAGTGAGGTTTCTTTTGAGTATTGAGGCATAACATAGGCACCTAAATACTCGAAGGTGAGTATAAGATGCTTTTGTCTGGCATAACAGTTCAAAAGGTGATCTATTATTGAGGATCTTGGTTGGAGTTCGATTAATGATGTGTGTGGCGGTCAAAATGCAATCTCCTTAGAACTTATGAGGTAATTTAGCCCGAAATTTGATGGCCCTAGCAATGTTAAGAATGTGTTGGTGCTTCCTTTCTACAATCCCATTCCGCTGTGGAGTCTCAACGCAACTCATTTGGTGAATGATGCCATTGTTTTGATAGAAGTCAATCATGATGAACTTAAAGCCATTATCTGACCCGAGGATCTTGATTTTGGAACTGAAGTATGTTTGGATTAGGTGAAAGAATGAATGAATGATAGGCCTAGTTTGAGATTTATCTTTCCCATAGTCATCAACAATAGTTAAAAATACTTTGATCCATCAATGAAAAGTAGAGAATAGGGACCCCATATGTCACAATGAATGAGCTCAAAAGGCTCGGAAGATTTTGTTTCACTAGCTTGAAATGGCAACCTATGTTGCTTAGCCATGGGGCAAACAAAACAATGCAAGTGTTCATTAAAAGTAATAGCAGGAATAGATTTATGTAAAAAGGACAACTGAGATACAAGAATATGGCCCAAACGACAATGTCAAATGTCAATATTCATATTGGTAAAATTGCTAATAGAGGTACAAGCAACAGAACTCAGTTTATTACAACTTGAAAATGATGGAAAATGTTTGTTTAAATTGTAAAACTTGAAGAGGACTCTAGAGATTGACCATTGCACCGGTGCTCAGGATGCTGAAAATGGTATAAACCACCTTCAAGCTTACCTACCCCAATCGTCATCCATGTTGAAAGTTCGCGAACAAAAAGACAATTGTGAAGAAATATTAGACAACAATGATGTTTAAGTATCAATTGACTGGCAGATATCAAATTGAAATTGAAACCTGGCACAACCAAAACATCTGTCAAAATGAGATTAGGTGACAAATTCACATTTCCAGTGTGCGTAACAACATCCAAACTACCATCAGGCATACAAACTGATCCATTAATAATGCCAGTGACTTTGGTTAAATGTTTGATAGAACAAACCATATGTTCAGAGGCACCGATGTCAATTATCCACTTGCCTGTAGGTGTGATACTATTACTTGATAAGGCAAAAGCATCAGGTGTGGGAGATAAGGTGGAAACATCATTCGTGAACTGCTGATTAACTTCTGAAACCTGTCATTGGAGCTGTGGCGCCAACAGTGCAATGATTTGTTGACATTATTCAGGTGTGATAGTAACATTTGATAATGAATTGGTTATCTCAGAATCCACTACTCGAAATGCCTTACTAACAACATTAGCAACACGATTTTTGTCTTTGGCAAATCTATGGCCAGGAGGATATCCAATCAATTTGTAGCATTTTCCTTTAATATGCCCAGGCATTTCATAATGACTACAGATAGGCCTTTCTCTTCGTTGTGGCTGATTCAGGTAAGTGGTTCTCTGATTGCCTATGTATTTAGACATCAATTTGCTGATAAAGGCAGCACCATCAACAATGTTATGTTACCTTTGCCTTTCTTCTTGCATGACTAGAGAAAATACTCTATTAAGTGAGGGTATATGATCCATTAACAAAATCTGGCTTTTTACACTAGAAAAATGTTCATCTAATCCTATCAAAAACTGCATAGTCTGATCCTCAGATTTGTAATTAGTGTCGCTGTTGCTGATTTCTGGTCTGTAATTCTCCAATTTTTCCAAAAGCCCCTTGAATCTATTAAAGTAAGAGTTAACAGAATTATTTGCCTGAGAAATCGAGGCAATTTGCTTCTTGAGTTCATAAATGCGAGGGCGATTGCTTTGATTATACCGTTCTCTGAACTCGACCAGATCTGGCCGCTAAGTCCTTATGCATCACGCTAGGATACAACTCCTTTGGAATCGAGTTAATGATCCACGAAGATACTACATGATTGCACCTTCTCCAGGCACTGTAGAGAGGATCATCAAATGAAAGTTTGGTAATGGAGCAGTCAATGAAACCCTCCTTATTCTTCACACTTAGGGCCATAATCACAACTCTACTCCAGGTAGCATAATTTTCTTCAATGAGAACAACAGAAATCAATTGCATTCCAGTATTATCACCATAGTGAATGTAATATGGACTGCTAGGAACGCTAATCAAGCGATTGACAATCGATGCCACATCTCTAACCAACGTCTCAGCAAATGACGGGTCAACAGGTGAATCCGCCTGATTCATCTGGTTTTGATTCTCAGTTTGAGGATCTGATTAGTTCTCCATTGCAGAAGAATTCACCGCTCTGATACCATGTGAAGTTTATAAAAAAGAAAATAAGATCTGGCAATGGAGGGAAAAGGCGGTAGAAGTTGTTGAATTGAACTGAATTCGTTAGAATGAAATTGAGCTACAGAGGTTCGTTATATACACAAAGATGAAAGTGTCAAAAGACATAAATAACCCTAAACAATCTAACAAATCTCAATATGTTAAGTAGTTTGTTTTCTAGGGATTGTTTGAAAAAAAATTTGATAAAAGTTTTAGTAAATTTTGATAAAAGTTGATCGAATTTATGGTTGAAAAATTAATAAAAATTGTGAATCCAATTGCAATTAAAATTACTATTAACTTTGACCTTAATTTTTCAGTAGCTTTTAAGCTATTTCAAACAAGCACTAAGTATGGGCTTATAGTGCAGCCTAAACATGGAGTGGATACTATTGGGCCCAATCTCTAGAAGGCCCATGCTTTAGCATCTATTGAAGACCATGTCCAAGCCTAACTATTCATTTCACAGATTTCAGTAGAAAAAAACAATGTCACAGAGCAGCAACAATTGGAATCCAATGAAATCGATCAACTGTGTGATTTCAGAACCGTACTATTTACTCCATTTTCTAGCGTTCTTCTCATACATTCCCGTTCGCTGTTCCGCCTCTAACGTTTTCTCTCCTCTCCGCTCTTCTCATCTCCTTTACAGAGTATTCACTTCTTCACATATCATATATTGCAATTGAAGTCGCTTAGTTTAATGATATAATTGTTTTTTTTTTTTTGATGAATTTGCAGGAAATTCAAGCAGTTCTTGCATTTTGTGTTTTATCAGCTGTTAAGGTATGATTGTTTAAAAAAAATAAATCGAAATGTTGAAAGAATCACTTTGGTACATGTATTGAATTAAACGACTATAGATAATATATGCAGGGAAAGGTAATATTGTCTTGATTTCCCAAATTTAGTTCAAATAAGGTGGAATTAATAGACTTTATTTTGATACAATGGATTATTCTAATTGTTAAAAGATCATCTGGAGAAAATTGTTAATAAAGATGTTCTTGTTTGTTATATTTACTGACAGGTGGTAAAAGTGGAAACATGGGAGGCTTTCATATCGGATACTTTATTTTTTGCAAAGGTGCTCTCTTTGATGCTGTTCTAGTGTCTTTGTAAATATATCTGATTAATATGGTTTGCTCATTTAGGAGAATATTGCATTTGCCTCAAACACGTTTTGTGAACAGCTTGTACTGAAAAACTAAAAGGGATCAGATTTGCTAAATGTCGTTAAACAAAGTCATAAATTGCAAAACTTAGGAAACAATGAAACTTTTGGGAATGATAGAACTGGAAGATTTTAGGATTTGATAGGATAGATTTCACTGAAGAAGAAAAGGAGTAGAAGGAGAAGAAAAAGTGAGAAATGAGAATGCCATATTAGACATTTATTGATTTGCCTTGCTAGGTAAGACAGCAAGGCGTAACCACTGACATCTCCACATGAAGGAAGGTGTCACAACGGAAATATGTTCATCTTCTTCATCAAAAAGAGAATTTCCTTATCACTATTTGATAATGACATTTTAAATGAAACAGCAACATAAATTTGTGAAATATTAATCACTCACGACAGACACAAGTAGTTAGTTTTCGGCCTATGCCGTCGAGCTCACCATTTGTAAGGAAGGAGGTCTTTGATAAAGAACTCAATTCTGAGATGTAAAGAGCAGCTTGAGGATTTTGCTTGATAGCTCAGTTTGACATTAACGAAAATTTTGCACTAGGTACATATAGGAAGGGGTGATTCCAACAAATTTGGTGGATTCTTAGCCAGGCTGGGTTGAATTATATTCAGTAACCTTTTCTGAATTTTATGTTATCTGGAACATGCCTTCCTGCTTTGTAGCCTTACATGCCTATTTTCTTTTCAATTTACTATTTCTTTTATATTTGAAGTTTTAACTTTTCAGAAAATATATCGTTTAACTCGAGTTCATGTTTTCTCAGATTTTCCTTGTTGCTATTGCTTTGGTGATGGACTACCACGTGGCTCTGTGGTATGCATTAGTATTTTCTGGTAGGTCTTGCACAGTGGAAGTTGTCAAAAGTCTTAATTGACACAATCATTTTAACTTATGCCATTTTGCTTTTTTCCAACAGTTATATATTTTATAGCACAACAACCTGCATATGAAGGTCTAGGTATGGGATTATCTCACTGTGTTAAATCTTAGCTTCTTTGAGATAAAGTTTATACGCACTTACTCAAAGTCATGATGGCCTCCACATGTAATGTGATGTACTATCATAATATATAATGTTGTCTTTTTTCTTTGACTGATTTTTTATAATTCTTCTTCATTTGACCTTTCTAGGTACGGCAAACCAACTAACACCGCTCCAGTTGGAAACTTTGCTAACTGAAGGGAACAAGTCAAAAATCTGGCTGGTTGGTTTTTGGACTTGCTTTTATTATTTCAACAAAGATATCGAATCTGAGTGCATGTCTTTACAAAACTATTGTGATAATGTTGTAGTGGATGAACTTATCAATGAAACGAAAAAAATAAGAAGCAAGAGAAGAACAGTAGTACTGGTTATCTCGTGTGCATGTAGAAAATCACCTGCTATTTCTCTCCCAAGAATCCAAAGTTTTAATTTCAGGGTGTTTTAGATGGAAGAAGACAAAACCGGCATCACACCACTCATACAGCCACCATTTCAGGCGGCGGCCCTAGGTGGAAACCCTAGCGCCGCCGTCCCAGATCTGCAGGTTCCCGACATTTCCTCAGTAGACGCGCCTGACAGGTGGATTGGGGTGGGGATTCCGACTTGGGGGGGTGGTCTGGGAGGACCACGC